GGGGGCCGTGGGTTCCCCCACTGCGCTGCGCGGCGCGGAAGGGGAAGAGGCGGCGCGGCGGGAAGCCGAGTTCGGCGTTTGGTACCGTCCGTGTCGGGGGTGCGGATGTAGCGGCAGCGTAGATAAAATCGTACGTTACTCAGTTAATATAAAATTATTTAAAAAGTAACGTTGACGCCGTGGTTACGTGTTCAGAATTCAGAGAAGCCGAGCGTGGCGTTGGGTGTCCTTGCATGATGGAGCCGGCGCAGCAGTTGGCGTCTGGGGGCGGTTGGCGCCGCTGCTGTGTGGCGTTGCTGCGCTCCGCTCGGGCCGCGTTTGGAGGCCCGGGAGTGTTGTGTGCTGTGCAGGGAAAGCCGACTTACAGAGAACTGAGAGCTGGAAGCGACCTTTAAAGGCCATCCGATCCGTCTGCCTGCCATGAGCAGGGACACGCACAGCTCCATCAGGTGCTCTGAGCCCACCCAGCCCGGCCTTGGCTGTCCCCAGCCATGAAGCATCCACCACATTTCTGGGCAAGCTGTGCCAGGGCCTCACCACCCTCACTGTAACAGACTTCTGTTGGACTTCCTTATGTCCAACCTAAACCTCCCTGTTGAAGTTTGAAGCCATTTCCCTTGCTCTGTCACCACAGACCCTGCTGAAGAGTCTGTCCCCTTCTCTCCTCTTGCTCCCCTTTAGACACTGAAGGCCGTTCTCAGCTCTCCCCACAGCCTTCTCTTCTCCACCTGCACAGCCCCAGCTCTTCTCACCAGCAGTGCTGTCCCCCCGCAGTTAAACGGGTCACGGTTGTGGTGCACAATGCGGAAACGCCCTCAACAGCCCCGATGTGTTAGGATGCAGGCATTCTTAATTTATGATGCCTGCCCTAACCATGCCCCCCTGAACAAAAGCCCTTCAGCTGATACACCTCACTGGTCTTACCTATGCAAAAGGTTTCCTGAGCGGTCCAAACATTCAGTTCTCCCCCCAAAACCATTCCATAGCGTCCCTCTCCTTGCGTGTGCTCATTGGTTTTGGGTGGAGGTCTCAAAACCCTCAGACACAAAGTAAGCAGCCTTCCTCTTCGTGACCCCATATTGCCCTCTTCTTGGTTTTTTTTTGAGTTGCAGTTCAGAGTGCTGTACTGGAGAGGACCCCCATGCTGACCTGGATAACAATGATGCGTGGGACTTGTTAAGCAGGAAAAGGATGTTCTGCTTAGTGTCAGAGTGCTCTGCTGACTGTTAGCTGGTTTTGTGAAAGCAGGCATTGTTCAATTAGGGATATCCGGGCTGTAAGGAAGGAGGTAGGGCACCTGGATACTTATTTCTGCCCTTGGGAGTTCCAGAAGAGCTTTCAGGGCCTGTGCGTTAGGTTTCCTTTGTGAACCTAACATTTTAGGCTACAAATGACATTAACAACAAAATGTATAGTCTCTGTTTTGGCAAAAACTTTTCCTTTATTTTCAGGAAACACCTGCACGAGTCTGCCTCCGCCCGGCCGTGGCTGCAGGGGAGGTCGGTGGCTCCGAGGGCTGGCAGTGGCACTGCAGGTCCCAGCATGTCTAAAGAGCTGCAGGAGCTGCAGAAGCAATGGCACTTCATCGTGCAGTCCATCCACAGCAACTCAAACGTAGGTCTGCGTGAGAACTGGGAGAACTGTCTGTGGCGCACTTCCGAAGCTGGGATCTTTACAGCTCTTGAGATGCAGTGCCCCAGTTTATCTCAGTGATGCTTTTTTTCCTTTATTTGGAATCTTGGGGCTCTCTTTCTTGAGCAAACGCTCAGGAGTGCAGGGGAAGGGCAGCCCTCCCATATCTTCAGCAGTCGAGATGAAGGGACCACTGTTCTGCACTTCTGTCTTACCAGTATAGCCATTAAGGTGGAAGAGTGGCTGTTTGGTGACATGTTTGTGCTGCTCCATAAATAAACTACAGTACGTATTTGCTTAGAGGGAAAGAAATGTCTCTTCTACACAGAAATTCCAGTGTACAACTGCTTTAACAGAAGGGATTTGTTTCCACCTGCAGACTTACAAAAGGTGTTCCCCTGCTTCTCACTGACGAGCTGCGGCCGCGGAGTTACAATGAGATACAGCTGAACGCTGTTCTTCCCTCCGCAGGTCGTTGCGTTTATGAACTCCCGCCTGGGCCTGTATTTGGATGACCATCCCTTTGTTGCCTTATCGCTCCTGATGTTCATTGCAGTGTCTACTATTCCTGTGGCATTTTTCCTCATCTTTGTCATTACGACAGTCATAATGGCTTGTGTTGGTGTGATAATCATGGAAGGTATTGTATGCATGAATCTACGTACTCCCTTTTCAGGCAGAAACCTTTTCCTTATTCTTTTCTTCTTTTTGGAGTCCCAGTTGAAGCATTTGAAGATTTCTGCGTGTAGTCCTCAGAGCAGTCATCTGATTAACTGCATTCTGTACCAAAGGAAATCCTAATTGCCTTTCTAATCTGAACCCCTGATTGCGGCAAAACCAGTTATCTTGGCCACGCAAAGCTTTTGTTTCTGGTATTTTATGGAAGGCATTGTTACTTTGCCCTCCAGTGCTGTCCTGCTAGGGCCAGGCTCTTGGCTGTTCCCCCATCAGCTGGTTGATTCCATTTTCCCAAATGCTTTTACTTTGGGGTTGTGGTCGAACACCTGCTTTTCTAACTCAGTTGTATATAAACGTGTTTAAATGATACTCTCTGTCTTGTTTTATTAGGTGTTGTGATATCCATCGGGGGCGTAGCCCTGCTCTGTGTGCTTTGTGGCCTGGGTGCGCTTTCACTGGGAGTTTCTGGAGTGCTGAGTGTTTGTTACATCATTCTTTCAGCTCTGGTCAATTGCTGGTGTGCCTCAAGGTAACAGCCCTGACTTCTGCATCCTGACTTCAAATTGCACCTGCACTGCTGCTTTGGTTACTGCCTTTATTTTAACAGTGAACCAATTCTGGTTCATTTAATGGATGGTTTTTTGGTGCTGGGGCATCTTTGGCTGCTTTGGTGCTTCAACATTAAATCTCATCATTAGTAAGGATTTTGGTGAGAGTTACAATCACAGAATCCTTAGAGTTAGAGGGGACCTTTAAAGGCCATCCGATCCATCTGCCTGCCATGAGCAGGGACACGCACAGCTCCATCAGGTGCTCTGAGCCCCCCAGCCCGGCCTTGGCTGTCTCCAGCCATGAAGCATCCACCACATCTCTGGGCAACCTGTGCCAGGGCCTCACCACCTTCACTCTGAAAGGCTTTCTTATGTCCAACCTTAAACCTCCTCCCTTTGAGCTTGAAAAACCTGCATATGCTAACACTGTAACATCAAAATTTATCTTTATCTCAGAATTAATGTTGATTTAAACATCCTCAAAGCATGCTTTCAGGTGTGCCTAGAGGATGCAGCAGCGTTCTTTCTGCACAACACAGTACCCAGCTATCTCAGCTTACCTGCATTTGTAGAGAAATGGACAGAAATGTAGCTTTGGAATAGGAGCACGAGTTGATAAAGGGAAGAGCGTGGGTGGCTTTAGTAGGAGTGAGTCGTTTTTCTGGATGCTACGCGTGTACTGGATTGCAGGTCAGGTCTGCACATGCGCCAGGAGCTCAGGGCTTGGAGGCCAGCTTAGGGAGCTGTGCTTTAGCTGTGCTCTGCTGGGCTGAGGGTGGTCCTGGCAGGTTGTGCTGGAGGGCCACCTGCTGCCTGCCAGTGCGTTCACAGCAAGGAAGGGCTGATGGTCACTCGTAAGCACAGGGGGGAGCAAGGAGAAAAGCTGCAGCTGCTCTCTCTGAGACTTTCTTAGTTTGGTCCTTCATCACAGCAGCATTTCTGCATGGTTCTCAGGGATGCACAGTTTCCTGTGAGGGTGTTGTACTTCAGGAAGAGAAGACTGGTGCCAAGCCCAGTGTGTCTGCACACCTCCAGGACTTGCAGCCCTCCTCCGAGGCGTGCTGCCAGGCCCATCGCTTTGCCCACCAGGTCCAGGAAAGATTTCTCTCTCCTGCAGCACGTACTGATGTACTGATAACCTACATACAAATTACAGTTTGATGTTAAAGAGGTGCTGGCAGATCGCTCTTTTTGCGTTCGGTGCCTTTTCAGAGAGCTGTGGCACATAGAGCAGCAGCGGATGTTCAGAAGTCTCAGGCTTACATCTCGTGTTGCTTAGCTGCTCTGGCAGAAAGTTAGACAGCAGTCTTAGGGGAGAACAGACATAAAGCTGTTCTTTTCTCCTGTGCAGGAGCCAGGCGAGGAAGCAAGAAGTTAATGGAAGTTCGCCACAGAAGAGTCTGTCTGTCATGGACTTCTCTGACAACAAACGAAAGAACAAATAGTGGGATTCTGCCCATCTTCAAACACTCCGCTGTGCAGGTCTGTCCTTTGCAATGTAATCGTTTACTTGTTAAGCATCCAACCTCAGTGCACTTCATATGGGAGCTGAAAGAGCCGGCGTGCATCGTGCATTGTCACTGTAACAGCAATAGTGGGAGCACGTGCTGAGCAGCACAGCGTGACACTGCGTGAGCGAGGGAATGTTCTGCAGAGTTGGGGAGAGGGATGCAACTGTCACAGCAGAGTTGGGGGCAGTTGGGTAAGAGAAGGGCTGGGCAGTGTTTGCCTGTGCTCCTGGAGCTCTGGCTGCACTGTTGTTTGCAACGCATGCGCAGCAGTTTAGCCATTTCATACATAAGTGTTAAAGCCCAGAACATCAGAAATGCTTTTGAAAGGTGAAAAATTTCTAAGTGCTACCAGCCCGTGTTAAAATATTGTGAGTATACCACACTAATGCTGTGTGTTGTGAGAGGAAAGCAGGTTTCATCACACCTTAATTGTGGTGTAAGCTTTTGCACACCTGTACAGCTGCAGGGATGGTTTCCTGCACTCACTGCCACCTCACTGCAGCAGCTTGCAGCCTGCCATTCTGTTCTGCCCTGCTCTGGGTGCTTAAGTGGCCTGTTCTGTGTCTTGGTTGTAACCTCTCACTTTGTTTAAACTTTTTCCATTTTCGAAAATGCTGTCATAGTTCTAAGCATTATCTAATTGTCTGAGTTTAATAGAGTGCTGTTTGTTTTTGCCTCATTATTCTTATTTATTCTCAAGTAAAGAGTTGCATAAAGAGTTGCCCTCAAAACTTCCCTAAGGGTTTTCCTTTCGAGCAGGAGCACACTTGTTCAATAAAATATTTGCTGTGGATATTTCAAAACTTTTCCCCTATAGAATGTTCCATAAAATTCCTGTTGGTAGCAGGAAGACAAAAACAAAATTGAGTTTCTCTGTAAGGAAAGAGAGGGCTGTAGTACTGTTTATGTAACATAGGGAAGGAGAAATCCATCGAGAAGATGGAACAAAGACACCATTTGAGCACGCATGCAGTTTTTTGCTATCACTACTGGTGGGTAGCACCTGCAGCAGCCAAACCCCCAGCAGCAGGGCTGCTCAGCAGCATCCCTTGGCCCAGGCTGCTGTGCCACCAGGGCTGGCTGCACAGCGCAGAACGCAGCACCGCTTGTCACACTGCACATTGGTGGTGCCTGGCTCCCTGCAAGGCTGTCTGTACTCCACGAAGCCAACAGCTCCTCCCCATCTGGGGGCAGGCTTACTGAGACACCTTCAAAACTCCATCGAAGATGTGGATGAAAGCGTTCAACAGAAGCAGCCCTAAAATGGAGCGCTGTGGCAGCACAGAGGGGCCTTGACCCCAGCCCTGTCCCCATTTACCATAACCCCAGGGCCAACCCCTCATTACATTTTGGGCTGAGTGCTGGGCAGTTTGTCTAGAAGGATACAGGATAGAAAGCTTTACTGAAATCCTAAAGATAACAGCAGCTGGCTTCCCTCCACCAACAGGACAGGTGACTTCACCATGGAAGGAAAATTCATTTGTTAAAGACTACCTCCCCTGTGAACCCACACTGGCTCTGGCCAAAGACAGCACTGTCCTTCAGAACCTCCCAAGGTAATTTTCTCCATCCTTTTTCCAAGCACTGAGGTGAGTCCGACAGGCCTACAGGTACTGAGGTTTTGCTCTGGCTGGCAGTCAGCTGGCACCTCTCTAGGTTCCCAGTGATGGACAATTCAGAGACACCTGGTGCTGACCTTGGCCAGTTCTAAGTACTCTAGGATGGATCCTTGCGAGCTCTCCTGCACCACAGCAGGCTGCACCCAGCATCTCTGCCTCCCCCTGGCTTCCAGGCACTGCCAGGTCCTTGGGAGCATCCAATGACAGAGGTCAGGGTAAAAGGAATCCTGCTCAAGACAACCTTGATTATCATCCATTAAGGATTGCAGCACTCTGTTAGGATCTGCCTCAAATCCTTTTAGGAATTATAGTCAGCCCATCAGCAATGCTTATTGTGAAGGAGTGGCAGTGGGAGCTGAGCTCCGCTCCACGCCTTCTCCCCCCCCCCCAAGCTGTGGCAGCATCACAGACCCAGTCCCACACAGCACTGCGCCACCTACTTACAAGAAGTTGAAACCAACAATGAATAATTCTGTAGTGATGCTAAGAAACAAGTTTAGCTTAAAGAAAAGCTTCACTACTCCTTGCCCCAGCAGAGCTCTGCACACCTTTCTTATCCAGCTGCCCACTACAAGCACTTCTGTGCTCTGCTCACAGGGCAGTAGGATGTCCAGCACAGCATCCTTGAGATGCTGGAACATGGGAGATTCTGAAGTGGCTCATGGCACTGACCAGCGCTTTTGCTCTGCTGTCTGCTCTCTCACTGGATTAAAAGCAAATACAATCCAAACGTTCAGTTTTAAGGAGAATCTCATTAACCCAAAGCCATTGGGACCAACACCATTTAGTTTAGTGGGGAAAGGCAATTGCCAGAGCTGATGTTCTCCACTTATGCCATCCAGAAGCAGGAGTTTATTCTCAAATCAGTGCATTGGTAGAGAAAGTAACAACGCTGTACAAGTGAAAGCACTGCTCACAGCCTGGCCTTGCTCACAATAGCAGGCTCAGGAAATCCTGTAGCAAGTTCAGTTAGTTTTGCCTCTGCCAGCTTCCAGCAAGGTGCTGCAATTGGGCACAAGCAGTCGCACGGAGACACAGCCCAACAAAAGCAGCAGCCACACCTTCAGATGAGGCACCAAACAGAGGCAGCAGTTGTGCTCTCCCAGCTCTTGGCTTGCAGGAGAAAGAGCACTTCAACCTACTGGGCTGCCTGCAAGCCACCCTTAACCTGGATTAAAACCTGGTCTACCTCCAGTTTCATTTGCTTCTGTTTGAGAAGCATTTCCTCAGGGAGAGGAGGAGCCTCCCACTCATTCTCTGAAGCTCGAGGGGAAAGGTGGTATAATGATCCAAGTGACAGCCTAAAGGACAGCGGGCACCTCCTGCAGTCTTAGCACTGAGGTGTGCAATGCATTAGCAGAACTACTGGAGAGCTAACACCAACCACTGCCACAAACTTCCTTCTAAAAGTGCTCTTTAAACAGGGAAGGAGGGAAGAGGAGGTGTAGTTTCTCTTCCAGATGAGAACCCCACTGCATTTACACTCGCATTTTACTTCTCCTGTCACATACGCGCCTTTTCCTCACACCGGGATCTTCCTCCCCCCAGCCCACCTCTTCCAAAGGGACACTTCGCAGTCTCACCACCCCGCACCCACTGGGTCTCAGCGCCCGCTTCCCATTCTCCGTGCACTTCACACCTCGTCGTTCGGAGGGCGCTGCTCAGCTGAGCGGTGCCTGTTCCGCATCGCACTGCTCCGCCCCGCGGCTCTGAAGCCAGCGGGGCGACTGCGTTACCGAGCAGTACGGGGAGACCTGAACGCCGCAGTGCTCAGCGCTGACCTCGAAGCAGCAGCTTAACCCCTCTCCGAAGGGAGGGAAGGAGCAGCTGAAGAGGGGCTGCTTTCACACCGCTGTTTTCTCGCAGTCGCGGCTTTCCTGAGACAAAGAAACAGCCACCAGCTTTAGGCCCTAAAGCTTTGGGGGCTTCTCTTCTGTTTTCAGCTCGGTTCCTCTGCCCGAAGACCTGGGGAGCACTGCCTCCATTCACCGAGACACCTGCGTTTACCTCCAAGGAGCTACACGACCAACTCCAGAGCTACATCTCTTACCTGAAAAGCCACATTTTTAATTCAAGTTTGATAACAAACATTAATATACCGCATTTACCATCAGGGCTCTTCTTTTCAGGCATTTAAGAAGAGCCATAAATAACAGCATCGCGGCCGCCAGAGAGAGAACGCCAACAGCAGCCGCAGTCACCGCAGCCCACGTCGCCCGGCTCAGCGCAGCGTCCCCTGCAAGGGGAGCAGAAAAGCATGGCGCTGAGGGGCCGCCCCCCACGGCCGGGCAGCGCACGCCAGCGCCGCTCCTCACCTCCAGCTGCCGCCCATCCGCGGGGCACCAGGAGCACCGGACCCTGCAGGCTCGCCGTGGAACTGGCGCCCGGCCTCACACCGCCTGCAACCGCGCACGGGAGAGAGAAGTGAGCGGCGCGGTGCCGCGCGTCGGCACTACCGTAGGACGCAGGGCGCGCCGGGGCGATACCTCGCTTGCTCCTAGGCGGCCTGGGGCACCTCGCTGTGCACAAGGGGGAGTCCGGCTGGAAGCGGTCGCAGAGGAGGGCGCTGCAGTGGAAGTACACCTGCACAGAACAGATGTGGCCGCTCGCTTACAGGAGACGGGAGGTCTTGCTGAGTGCAGTAAGCGATAAGCGGCACTCACCAGGCCGGGGAGGGCTTTGTGCGACACGAAAGCAAAAGCCTTCACTTCCAGCCTCTGGCGATAGTTGGGATAGCTGACGCCGCGGCCCACAGCATGGAACGCAGTCCTGTAGCTGTCCTGGTCGTACTCACACCTGCAGGGAGGAGAAGCAGCCCATCGGTGGTAGGGCAGAGGCCATAGAGTGGCCGAGGTGGGATGGGACCTCTAAGACACCAACACCCCCCTGCTACGGGAGGACGCCTCCCTACAGCCCAGGCTGCTCCGCTTCCAGCCGCAAGCTACAGTTCAAAGCACAGGCGCCATCCTGCAAGTTCCAGGACGCCTCCATGCGTGGCACCAGGCAGCGGCGCCCAGCAGCACCCCCCAAAGCAGGGCCTGTTGCCCCATGCCTCCAATTGGGAATGCAGAGAGAAGGGGCGAGGGGAGAAGCAGCCAAACCCCGCAGCCGACAGGGCAGCGTGCCTCCAGCGGGGCACTCACCCATCAACAACAATATTCCACTGAGGAAGCGAGCTCGGATCTTCTGATGCTGTTGCCCAACAGTCATCCAGCTGGAGATGGAGGTTGGGGTCATTGCGGTTCAGGACCTGCACTTCCATGAAGATGGGCTGCTGGAGGTACCTCACTATGGGGTACTGGTCATCACGGTATGGCTGCCTGTACGAGTCCTCTGCAAGAGCCAAAGCCTTGGTAGGTGAGTTCCTGCACAACAGTAGTCCTGAAGAAACCCAAGCGCTTTGAAGCCAGCTGCTCTGCTGGCTGGCAGCTCTTCCTGGAGCCAGAGGCACTCAGCTCCAGAATCAGCTCCTCCACCTCAAGTAGCACAGCAGGAGGAAGAGAAGCATGTAGGGCCCCACAAAGCCCACACACCCAGACTTGCACACCCTTCCTCTCATCTCAAGCATGAATTACTGCCCTGAGCCTGGGGATGGCTTACCTGGGTAGCTTAGAAAAATTAAAGAGAGGGAGCCTTGGTTCATGGAAGCAGCCAGGGGGGGAGGGTTTTCAACCCCTACAGAGATGGAGGCATCACCATTGCTGAAGGAACACAGCACCGTTAACCTGGGCAGGGAACAAGAAGCAAGTCTCACACCTGTGCACAGCATACCCACAGCCAAGTCTCAGCCAGAGAGACTTCCTGACACACCTGAACTCACTGTCCCTTGAGATCCTGTGCAGCACACGATCAGACCGCAGCGCCCTCACCTCATTCTCATACATTATCTTCTCTCCTTCAAGCTGAGGAGCGACAGCAGCATTAGTTGAGGGCATTCCCCCCACAAAGCCCCCCCTGCCAGCAGTGGGAACTCACCCAGTACCTGGTCCCACACCTTCTCAGTGGGACGTGAAACCAGGCCCTGTCATTTGAGGGGGACCTGAAGGCAGGTTTGCACATGGGATCTCTGAGCCTGAGTGTGTCCAGGGCTAGCGGAGGTGTAGTACTGCCAGCAAGGACTTCAAAATCCATGTACCCATCCTGAGTGCATACAGCAGCTGGAACAGAGGTACAGGAGTCATGCCCAAATAGCAACAGCTCAGTCTGCCAAACAGCTGCTGTATTTTGGCCACAGGAACTTCCTGGGAAGGAGCAGGTCAAGAATGGGCAGAGTTGGGGTCTGCCAGCTGAGCAGGGCATAACTGACCTATTGGTGCGTGCTGGTCACAGGGGCACTCCGGGCGCATCACCATCGCCACAGTCTCCCCATGGAAATGAAAAGTCAGTTTCAAGGAGGACAGGTAGGACTGAACTCCGGGGCAGCTCTCCCCATGTAGCTGGAAGACAAGTTACTCTCCTGGAGCATAATGCAAGAGTTGCCCTTAACACCTACAACGGAGCAGTTCAGTCTGCTCTGCAGCCACATGGCATGAAGAGCAGAAGACCTGCATTGCTCCAGGCATCTCCAACAGCAGCCCACCTCACAGCAGTGCAACCTCCAGCTGCTCTCAAAGGACAGTTCATGAAGTCTGAGTTTCTTTTGAGGGTGATGCTTATCTGCTACCCAGTGAGATGACATTTATCTGGGCCACAGCCACCCTGGATCAGTCACAGCACACGTGGCCAACCCAGGACCCATCCAGTCAGAGATGGTGTGCTTCGTAACAAGCAAAGCCCAAAGAGCTGTGAGCACAGCCACCCCCACAACCCCAGAACATCAACTCACTGCAGACTTCAGGTCTCCCCTGCTGACAAGCAGGTTGACCCCTCCTGTTGTGTTGAGAGTAATGGCTTTGTCCTGGAGCTGGTCCATTGGGATGGTCTCATCTTCTACAGCCACAGCCATAAGGGTCCCCGGGAAAGCTGGGATGGCAACAGCCATGTGTGTCGTGTTACAAAGCACCGAACCTGCAACAACATCCTTGTTGAAGCAGAACATCCTTGTCAAAGCAGGAGCAGGCAGCTTCTCCCACACATTACCTGGAGCACAAAGCATTCTTGACTCCACGGTCAGTCTGTGTTCAGGAGGGCCATACGTGAGCTTCAGTGCCGCAGTGTAGAGCGCCTCGTGGTTGTGCTGCAGGGCAGGATGCAGAGCAAGGCACTCAGTGCAGAAGGCAGCACAGGTGAAGCTCTGCAGAGCCACGCAATGCCCACCTGAGGCTGCTGGTCTTCAGGAAGGAAGTGGAGCTTTGCACGCTCACTCTTTAGGAAAGCTCTGCTCAAAGGACAGGCAGAACCCCAGCAGAACCGTGCTGCTGCAGGTGCACCCTGAGCAGGGCCAGACAACTCAAGGTAACTCTGCAAACTAACAGCCTGCTCATACCATTAGGCACAGCTCCAGATGAACTCAGCTCTAGCCATAACCCACAAACACTTCCATCAGAGGAAGGCTTCCAGCCCCGGAAAAAGCTGCATCATCCCTTCAGCATGAGCTCCACGCTCCTACCTTGTAGGAGACAACTCCAATGGCAGTGAAGGCTGCCTGGAATACCAGGTGGTGTCCATCAGTCAGAAAGCTGTAGCCGTGCTGCGTGGCTTCCTCGAGGCTCAGCTGGTGAACCCTGATTCCATCATCAATTGTCAGAGTTCCAGCCAGCGCAGCCACCTGAACCTGCAGAGCAGGAGGGGTCCCTTAGAAGGGAAAGCACAGCCCCACAGCAGCAGGGCACTTTGGGCCACCACAGCACAGGCTGTGCATTCGATGTATCTGCACTGAGGTTACACATTAGACTCCCCAACAAGCGGTAGCTACTCCAGCCTGAAGGCCACAGGCTGTCTTTGGGTCCAGAACAGACACCTTCTGCCAGCAGGGAGACACCTACCAGGTGCTCATCACTGAGACTTGGTCCTGGGAAGGTAACCTGAGGAAAGAGAGCACGGGAGTTACCTCAGATGAAGCTGTAACCACTGTCTGCTTCTAAGAGAAGTCTCTGCTACACGTCCCCAAAGCTGGAGTCGGCGCCAGCAGCCCCCACCCCCCAGGCACGGTATGGCACCACAGCGCTGGGCACAGCTGCTCGCAGAACGGCTCTCAAAGAGCAGAGCTCCGTGCCGAGGAGGGCTGCAGCCAACAGACCTCCCCAGAGACACCGCTCCGTGGGACCCCAGCCTGCCCCAAGGCCCCCGGCAGGACCCACAGCACCGCCCTCACCCACCGCCATGGAATCCTTTGTGCACTCGGTCACACCAACAAAGAGAGGAGCGATGATTTCATCCCCGCGGGTAGTGCTGCACTGAGCGCTGTAGGTGACGTTCCTCTCCTCTCCCACGGTACCGTTCAGCAGCAGGAGCAGCCTCAGCTGGTGCTGGCCGTGCTGCAGGGAGACAGGCTTCAATCAGGAGGGATGTCAACTCAGGAAAGAACAGCAGTGCAGCATAGAAGCCCTTCACCGTTTGCTCCTTCATCATTAGGATAAGCAGCTGAGCTGGTACAACATCAGCTAGTATTTCAAGAGCTCTGAGGTAGAGATGGGCTCTCTGGGTCAGCAGGTCAGGCAGAGGGACACAAAGCACTGAGGGAGTTGGGAGCAGAGCCTCAGAGAGCACCTGGCAGCGATGCCGGCACTCCTGGAGCAAGTACCAGGGGTACTTCCAGTGCCTGACAGCAGCTGGTACCAGGAAGGCCTCTGGGCCTCTCCCCACTCTGCTTTAACAGCTCTG